AGCTTGGATAGATGGGCTTTGAACCACTGAGCCTGTGACTTTGTGCCTGCCTCCCACCCCACCTTTCATGCCATACTTCTATTATGATACCAGAACACCTAGTTTAACCCTAGGTTTGCTGCAATATAAAGAAAGTGATTTCAGAAAAAGTCTCCCCAGAATGCTTGCAAGTGATCCAGATGTTCATGGGACACTAACTTCCAAAAGACCCTCTTACGCTTCTCAGGGAGATCACTTCATAAGTTATATAAATGTCTAATCTCTATGTTGTACACCTAAAACTACTATAATATTGTATGTCAACATGTAATTGAAAAATAAATGTAAAAAAAATACAAATACTCTCTTACCTAGTACTATTGATATTTGGGGGTAGTTTTAGGTGACAAAAGTTGTCTTCCACTTCTAAGTCCCTCAAAAACACTACCCACTATTCAGAGAATTCCAATGAGTTGACCTCCTTGGCTTGCATGTCACCTCCTCAGAACTAGGACCTCAGCACACTAGGAATGGTGGCACTATGCCAGGACATTCTAGAGTTCCCTGTGCTCACACATAGACAGAATTATACAAATGCTATTCCTAATGAAAGCCGTGGACTTGTTTTCACAAAGGTCAGACATCAGTGAAAATTGTGGACTGGATTAGTCAAAGTGTCTTCAATCAGCTGTGAAGTAAACTCTACTCCTTCTGGGAGTTGGCGTGACTAAAGCCAAGTCATCTGCCGTTTCCTCTTAGGACAGCTAAAGCCACCTTCACTGTGGCTAGAAAAGAAAAGTAGATTTGCAAACCTTATGAAAGATTCCTGTTGGATTGGACTTATACTTTTAGAAAAGCCATGAGACCTAAATCATTTTTAAAGATTAGAGTTCATGCTCAAAATATAATTTGAGACATAAAGTCTACCCATGACAAGTTTGCCAATATGTGGCCTTATAAGAGGAAAATATGAAGTAAAAGATGGTGACATTATTTATGACTGTAGCTAGCTAGCAATTTGGCAAGCTTTATTTCATATCTTGATAAGTCATCCAAACACTGAATAGCATTTGTATTCAACTGAGATAGAACTACAATTAATAAGGCAATGTCATCCAATAGTTGTATATTATTATTTCTTAATAGCATGACATTACTTTCCCTGGTGGAGACATTTAATATCTTGGAATCAGAGTGAAGGGTAATATATTAGGAAATAAGTGCTATTGCTCTATCATAATCCCGTACAGGGCCACCTACATACAAAACTGTCATCTTTCTCTTTCCATCACTTATTTATTCATTTCCCTCTTTAAAGTTGTCCCCTTTTTTCCCAAAGTAATGGCCTGCATTGGTGTCATAAATGGCTCCTCTGCACCCACGGGTGTAGAGCCATGTACCCATGCTCATTAGTTGATCTTATAATAAGAAAATTTTTTGGAAATTCTCCAACTGCTATGAAGAGATACAGTAGACTACTGGCTAAGAGCTGTCTTAGTTTGGGTTCTCCCAAAAGCAGACCCTGAGACAAAGGTTTAGGTGTAAGTAATTTATATAAGAGTTGATCCCAGGAAACACTGAGCGAGAGTTAGGGAGGGGAGCTGGGGAAGGGAGGAAAGCCAAGAAAGGATAAATTAATGGTCAGGTTACCTCTGTGGGCAGCTGAGTCTCGTTTTTGCTGGGCACCGTCTGACTTTGTGGAGCATAACTCAGAATCTGAGTCAGGGACGAAGAGGCTGGGCTGTTTCCCAATTCCTGTCCTTATGACGGAGTGTCACGTCTTTGAGGTTACATCCCTGTGCACAGGTCAAGTGGATGCCAGTGGCCGGTGAAGGCCCACACAGAGATCTGCAGGAAGCCTGTAGGCACGTTGAGAAACCATCTGCAGGTGACCTCCCCGGTGGGCCAAGGGGATATGGGAGGAACACTGACCATGTCTGTTACAAGAACTCTGCTCAGATTTGGTTTAGATCCTTCCTCTGAAACTCGCTAGTTGTTTGGTCTTGGACAAGTTAGTTAATCCTTCTAAACCTCAATTTCTTCCTCCGGAACAATAATAATGGTACACACTTAGCGGCAGGTCCAGACCCAGAGGTGTTAGGAAGAAGTGCTTAAGGACTTGTCTAGAAGGGCCATTTCTGTAGTAAACACGCTATTCTTTTTGTCTTACAAGAATGCACGTTTGTGTGGGATGGTTGATGGGAAATACAGGGTTGCCAAACTTCCCGCAAGCTAGCTCCATGAGGCTGCCATTGTACTTACCTTACAGAACTTCTGTAAAGATAAAATGGCTGTGAGGCAAATGTAATTGTGTCATTCCCCTGCTTAAAATTCTTCAATGGTTTCTCACTGCTCTCAGGAAAAAGACCATTTTCCACCCCACCACCCACTTAATAGGAAAATGCATTTTATGTGTTTTTCTTTTTCATTGAATTTATTGGGGTGACAGCTATACTAATAAAAGGGTAGTATGCTAATTAGACTGGATGTATTCTGGATGACCATTTGGATGTCCTTCTGGACAAAGCCGTGGCTCAGGCAAGCCATGGATGGCAGTGCTGCTGCCCAGGGCCGGCCCGAGGCTCAGGAAAGCTGGGGATGGCAGCTGCGAGTTCAGGCAAGCTGGGGGTGGTGGCTGCCCAGTCGCCCAAGGCTCAGTTAGGGAGTGATCAGGCTGGCAGGGGAGCAGTTAGGGGGCAATCAGGCCAGCAGGGGAGCTGTTAGGGGCATCAGGTTGGCAGGCAGAGGTGGCTAGGGGTAATCAGGCAGGCAGGTAGGCAAGTGGTTAGGACCCAGCGGTCCCGGAATGCGAGAGGGATGTCTGACTGCCAGTTTGTGTATGTGCTCCATGTGACTGATGTAGGTGCTTATGTAGGTGGGTTCTGACTTATGGCTAAAATCACGTTATGTCATGCCATAGGAACGGATCTCTGACGTAACCTGAGGACCTATTCTGTGTGTGTGTGTGTGTGTGTGTGTGTGTGTGTGTGTGTGTGTATTAGAGGCCCGATGCATGAAATTTGTGCAAGAGTAGGCCTTCCTTCCCCTGGTTGCCGGCACCCGGGACCTGGGCTTCCCTCACAGCCCTGGCTTCGTCCGGAAGGTCATCTGGAAGGACATCCGGTTCATTAGCGTATTACCCTTTTATTATTATAGATGATTAGAACTTTGAGAAATGTTCATGTTGTCCCACATGCAACTTTATCATAGAGCTCCTTTGTCTGAAAAGGCTAAACATATATATGCTATGCAGATTGTTTTGAGCTAAAGGCAACTAATGCCATGCAGGCTCAAGAGAAACTTCTGCCTGCCCTTCACTACCTAGAAGAGTTTGAATTAGGAGACTTGCCCAAGAGATGATCAGAGATAACACTTTTTGACCTAACTATATGGCAGGGCAAACTACTAATGACCGAATATCTGCTTTTCTTTATTGTCCTGCAGTAACCTTCCTCGCCCCTCTGAAGCCTCAAGGTGACCCTTAGCTCAGAAAGTCATATATATGTAATTTCCCCTTTCTCTCTATGAATCTCTCATGTATATGGGCTCTTTGACTCTCTCACGTATGTGGGGTTCCCATACATATGTATGTAATTAAATTTGGTCATTTTTCTCTCATTAATCTGTCTCATGTAAATTCAATGGTTAGAACAGCGGAAAGAACCTTGAGAGTAGAAGAAAGTTTCTTCTTCACCCACAGCAACTTAAAAGAGACTTAATTTTGTGAGAAACAACATCAAAATATCCCAAAACAGTAGTCTTGATAGACCTCCATGGTGTAATTAATTATATTAGTTTTCTGGCAGCAGTAGTAAATTAGCACTTACTGTAATTTTTTGTGCTGTGGTCATTCTTACTTCCACCAAACGTCACAGCTATACATAACCAAGGGCTATGCAGGCAATTTAAGTTGGGGTCTCATCTGGTAATCTGCAGATTTTTATTAAGCTTTTCCAAGGATGCAGAAGAGGAAGTAGATATTCAGAGGAAGTAGATCTAGGAAAAGAGAAAAGAATGAAGCAGAAATGCTTGAAAACAAGAGAGGGGAGAAGAGAGATTCTGCAGGGTTCCCATGGTTCCTTTGACCCCACTGCCTCCCTGCCGTTGGATTATGTGAGTCAGTACTGTATTTTTATAACAAAGTCCCTTAAACACTTGAAACCAGATTTCCTGCAACTACAAGCATCCAGCCAGTGGTAACCTCTGTTAGGAGACAAGAGATCAGTGTTTATCCACCCTTTTATGGAAGTGTTTATATTTTAAGTGGGATTTAAAATCAGAATCCTTAAAATATTGCTCTTATTGGCAGTGATAGAATTAGAAAAATCCAGTGACTTTTGAAAGACCTTCTGCCAAGTTGAATCCCACAGATGCTTAGGAACATATAACTTCTCTCTAGAACGGAACAAATAGCAAGTTTTTGCTACTGCTTGTAGATTCTTCTCTTATTTTCTGTTCCCTCAGATCTTTATGGAGCTGGCTTCTTCTCTCCTCATGGGCCTTTTCAGAGGGGACTTCCTTGGCATCTCAAACTAAAGGGGCACCCTCTCTCCTTTAGTTTTGCAGCAACTTATTTGTCTTCCACACACTATCATCTCTAGAGGGCATACGCATTTGTTGCGAGATGTTTGCTTTCTCAACTAGAAAGTCATCCCCATTTAGTTGGGCACAGTGTCTGTTCCGTTCACCGCTGAGTGCCAGATTCTGCACCAGGGCTTGCCTGGCAGAGGTGGAGTAAAACAACAACAACAACAAACAACAACAACAAAACAAAAACAAAACAAAACCACGGAATAAAAAGTGCACTTTTGTATTTCAATAACTTGTTTTTTCTTATGTAACAAGATTTTGCAATTAGGAGTAGTTTGTCGGGTAGCAGGGTAACCCTAGGAAAAACCAATCCCCGCCCAGCTGTTCGCGTGGTCCCGGTCCGCGCCTGCGCAGACTCCTCCGCCCGCAGCCCCGACCCGCTCTTCCCGGGGGGCGGGGCGGGCCAGCTGAGGCCTGGCGCGCGTGGATGACGTCACCGGCGCGTGCCCCGTAGCCCGTAGTAACCCCGAGTCTGCGGAAGTGGAGACCCTTGGGCAGGCAGCTGAGACAGGTAACCCGCGCGCTCCCGGTTGGGTCCACGGTTCCTGCGTCTCCCGCGCGGGGATGGCGGCGGGGGCCGTCGCATCCCGTGGTGAAGGCGACCGGGAGCCCGTCCTGCTCTGTCTTTCTTGGGTGTCGGGGTCCCCATTCTCTCTCATTCGCCCCAGGCGCCTAGAGGCTGAGCCGGTCCTGGGGACCGCGATGAGCGGCCAGTCCTGTCCAGCTCCGCTCTCAGGAGGTGATGGGCTCCGGCTCTCCCGCCGGCACACACCCTCCCTCAGCCTGCAGCTGCCGCCTCCGTCCTCGCGCCTCCAGGCCCGCCTCACCCAGCCCCTCCGCCCCCAGCCCGCAGGGTGCACCTCCAGCCTTGCCTTGTCGAAGGAGGCGGAACCGTGTCCGATCCCGTTCATCTCCGCCTGCAGCCACCGCCACACCGTGCCCGCCCCAGGGTGCCACGTTTTGAGTGTTGTTGTGCCTAGAGCGTCCGTTCGCTGTCAGGGTGGCCCTGTGCTCAGTAAAGCAGCTGTTTGTTGGGTAAAGGGCGGCGCAGCCATGTGAGAACCTGCCCTGATAGCAAATGACCCACCTGGGAGCCAATCACCTGTTGAGATGGATGACACAGTGTTAGCATTTCATTAACAGATGCTCCTGGTTCCTGGGTTTCTTTTTGGTTTCCAAGCAAAGATAACCACTGTTGCAAAGGCAACCCATCAAAATAAATAAACAAGAGAACCCCAGGAGGAATGTGTGGACCGCAAAAACAAACAAAACCCAACAGTGCATATTCATATTGTTGATAGAGGAATATGGGCTATTACAAAACCAACCAGAAAAGATATGGGAGGAGAAGGATTCTGAAACCTTTTATCTCATTGGTGGCTTGTATTTTCTTGTACTTTTAGTATGTTCCATTTTTTAATAGGGCATATTGTACTTCATATAATTCTGGGAAGCCTACCAAGTGACTCGCTAGTTGATGCGTTTTGGTTGTTATTCTTGGGGGACAAAAATAGAGAATAATAGTAGTCACTCATTGTTGACTCCCTGCTGCTATATTCCACTGTGTTCAACACTTTGCACGCGTGTTCTCCTTTGCTCACATTGGGAGCTTAGGAATTATTATCCTCAATTTACAGAGAAGGAAACTGAGACTCAGTTATGTGAAAAACTTGCCAAACATTCATAGTAACTAAATGGTGGACCCAAGCTTTAAGTTCAGGTTTCCTTTCTAATACCTTTAGTATTAAGTTCTCATACCTGGAATTCAAACCTGGAAAACTTAATTTATGATCCTTCTACACACATACATGCACGCACACATGCACACAGACCATCCTTAAGAATGAGCTAAATGGCAAATAAGATTGCTCAGTCTAACCCTTTTGTTTGGCGCCTTCAGGGAATGAGTAACTATAGATAGTTGAAAGTTTTACCCCTTTAGAAATGAAAATTATACTTTTACTGTTTTGGATAGAGAAATTTCTATTGTTCTAAACCAGTGGTTGGCAAACTGTGGCTCGTGAGCCACATGCAGCTCTTTGGCCCCTTGAGTGTGGCCACGGAGATTCAATCGCACTGTACGTGCGCCCGCACGTGGTATTTTGTGGAAGAGACACACTCAAGGGGCCGCAGTTTGCCGACCACTGTACTAAACAATTCCCGGGTTCTGGTGCTAGAGGGAAGCCGGTGCCAGCAGCCGGGGGAAGAAAGGCCTACTCTTGCATGAATTTCATGTATCAGGCCTCTAGTTAAATAATAAATCCCCATTCCCCCCACCTCCTCCACGCTCTAGCCCCTGTTAACCCCTGTTCTACTTTCTGCCTCCAAATTTCCCTATTTTAGGTACCTCATATAGGTGGAATCATGCACTATCCTTTTTGTGTCTGGTTTATTTCACTTAGCATGTTTTCAAGGTTCATCCATGTTGTAGCATGTATCAGAATTTTATTTCTTTTTATGGCTCAATAATATTCCATTGTATATGTATACCATAAGACATTTTTTGATGCATATTGAATTATGCTTTTTAAAATTTTCCTTTATTTATTTTTAAGTTTATTTAAACTAAAAATTAAAAAGCAACATTTTACCCATTTTGTCTAGCCCCCTTCACCTGCCACTGGTTGCCACCAATCTATGAGCTTGCTTTTTTTTTTTTTTTTAATTATTTTTTGGTTCCACATATAAGAGAGGCCATGTGGTATAAGTCTTTCTCTGTCTTATTTCACTTAGCATAATTCCCTTGAGGTCCATCCATGTTGTTGCAAATGGCAATATTTCCTGTTCTTTGGATAAATATACACAAGTGGAATTGCTAGATCATATGGTAGTTGTATTTTTAATTTTATGAGGACCCTGCATACTATTTTCCATAGTGGCTGCACCAACAGTGCCCAAGGTTCCCTTTTCTCCACATCCTCAGCAGCACCTATTATTTTTAGTCTTTTGATATTTATCATCCTAACAGGTGTGAGGTGATAGTTCACTGTGGCTTTGATTTGCATTTCCCTGATGATTAGTGATTTGGGGCATCTTTTCATGTACCTGGTGACAATCTATATGCCTTCTTTAGAAAAATATTTGTTGAGACCTGCCCATTTTTAACCAGATTTTTTGCTTTCGATTTTTATGTGTTCTTCATATATTTTGGATATTAAATCCTTCTCAGACATATGATTTGCAAATATTTTATCCCATTCAATAGGTTGCTTTTTTATTTTGTTGATTTTTTTTTTTTCTATGCAGAAGCCTTTTAGTTTGAGTAGTCCCACTTGTTTGTTTTTGCTTTTGTTGCTTTTGGTGTCAGTTTTAAAAAATTATGGCCTAGGCCTGTGCCAAGGAGTTGACCACATATGTTTTCTTCTAGGAGTTTCATGGTTTCTTCAGGTCTTATGTTAAAGTCTTTCTTTTGAATAAGTTTTTGTATGAGTAAAATAGGGGTCCATTTTCGTCCTTTTGCTTGTGGCTGTCCAATTTTCCCAGCATCGTTTATTGAAGAGACTGACCTTTCCCCATATATAGTCTTGACTCCTTTGTCATAAGTTAATTGGCTATATACAGGGTGTCCCAAAAATGTATACACACTTTGAATAATTTAAAGGCAGTATTTATTAAAATACATTTCATTTTCAAAATGCAATAGAATCTACAGACATGGGGTATATACATTTTGAGGGGGACACTCTGTATGTGTGGGTTTATTGCTGGGCTCTCTATTCTGTTCCATGCATCTATATGTCTGTTTTTGTGTGAATTATGACTCTTTATACTTCTCATTACATGTGGTATGAATTTCACACTTGGTGATTTGATTTGACTGTGAGCCACTGGAGGATAGGAATGGAAATATCAACTAGAATAACGTTGTTATTGAAGTATGAACAAAATGCCTTTCTCCCTCTCACTCTCTCTCCCTCCCCCTCTCTATAAAACCAGTGAAAACATATCCTCCTGTGAGGATTTTGTTAAAAAATTGAGATTTGAACCCATGCTGTGTGGCTCCAGAGCTGGTTTACCCTAAATTGACCCTTAGACCAGTATCAGCTTTGCAATGTAGATTGTTTTGCCTCCCACATTCTTCCTCTATCCTCTCCTTTCACATGATCTTTGAAACAGAACGTTACTTCTTAGTAGGCAGTGGAAGAGCAACTGAACCCAAGCCGTCAAAAGGGCTACAGGTGCCTCTCGTTTGATTGGGGTTGATATTGCATATTAGACCCAGGCTGCATTTTCACAGCTTAGCTCATATCACCTTTCTCTGAGAGCCTCGTCTTTGAAAAACAGATCCTGAAGCTTTTTATGATCTCATATTGCCTATATGTTGTGTGGGTGTTTGACTTTTAGAATATTGTACGCTTCCCACACTACTGTTCTGTGGATAGAAAGAGCTTTTTGTTCATGATGTTGTTATTGACTGTCACAATAGTTTATGGCACACTCACTTTGTCGTTACATTACTCTGTGTTGTTTGATTTCCAAAGAAATTATTTTGAAATCAATTTCATTATGATTTTCCCTGGCTTTTTTTTTTTTTTTGCTTACATTTTATTTTTTTTGACACTTGCAACTGAAGGTTTAATTTTTGAAACTGATGGGAATAAGGATATGCTTGATACATTTTGGCAGCAAAGGAGACATATCTGCCTCTTTCGGCACCAATAGTATCTTGTGTATGTAGCAAGTTTGGTGTGTATTTGAAGGCATGAACTGTTTGAACAATGTCTGGTAGAAATAGAGCTTTAGAATGAATGCTACGGTTGAAAGGATCCTTTGATATATCTCTTTTACTCTTCATGCAGCATTTGGGAGTCTAAAGCCTGGGATGATTAAATGATTTGCTGATATACATACGGTGTTATAATCTTTTTTTTCTTTTCTTTCTTTCTTTTTTTTTTTTCAAAAAGAATACCAGTGTTCTGTTCTTTTGAATCATACCTCATATTTGTGTAGCATCCTTATTTTTAAGAGTGGACTCTCAAGTTGTTTTACTCATATGTACTCAATTATCATTCTTCGTATAATGGTATGTTCTGGGTGAGCGATAATGACCTGAATTAGATAGGTTGCAGAGAGAATGACCTGATATGGTGGATCCAAGAGATAGTGTAAATTGATAGGACTTTGCAGTTGTTTATGTGTAGGTGAAGGTAAGAAACCTGGGATGCTCCCCAGGGTTCTACCTTGGGTAACGGGGTAGATGGTACTGTCATTCACTAGAAAAACTTAGGAGCGACCAGAGCAGGGTATGAATTTAAAATGGACAGAGCATGGGTTGCATAGACAAGTGAGACAGGTTGAAGGTAGAGCGACAGGACGCACCAGCATCTAAGAAGTGGGAAAAGGAAGGGCTAAAGAGGTGGGAAGGCAGAGAGGAGGTCATGGTATTACAAATACCAAAAGAGGAGAGAATTTTAAGGAGGGCATGGTAATTTGTGTTACTGCTCCAAAAATAAGGCTGAAAGAACCCAATGAAGAATGGGTTCTAACAGAGCATTAAAAAAATATTATCCA